GAGTTTGTGAGGTTCTCCTTTCCGAATTTTTTATCTGTGAATGATAAATTTGGGCGTTATTGGTTGTTTCTGAAAATTTGTCTAAGTGTTCATGTTCCTTGTCTTGGTGGATTCATAGGGGTTGCTTTGTGATGCAGTATAAAATTTATCAGTAAATAATACTAATAAAATTAATCGTGTCTAAGAAAAAAATTAAAAAATCATGAAAAAAATCATGAAAAGAAAGAACAAAACGTGCAGATTCGAGTATTTCAGCATAGACCAAATTCAAAAGAAAAAAAAACACTCACAAAAAGACCACTCTCTCTCTATACGATCTATAAAGATTAATGTTTTTTCATTCAATCAAAATTCACCGCCATTTACATTGCACGAGTAACCCTTTTATATTAGGGTCCTTTCCAAAACTTTCTAAAAAATATATATTCTCTTCCTTATCTAACGAGGGTGTATGCCTCCTAATGTCATGACGCAGTCCCTTTATGACGCAGTCCCTTAATGTTAGGAACTTAGGATGCTCCATGCCATCTAAACAAATAATGCAACTCTTATCTATATACGAAAGATATCCTTCTCCCAACTCCTATTACAGAACATTATCCCAAACGAAAAGTTTATATAAGGTTGTAACCCTAAAATGTAGAATTACATATGCACCTCAAAAATCTATCAGAAAGGTTGTTTTAATGTTGAAAAACTCTCTATTTGATCATTTCGACATCAAGATATATGAATATAAAAAAAAAAAAGTTTTTGAGTCTAAAAAATAGTGCATCTTGCAACACATTATCTAGGCTGTCTATTTTCAAGATTTTCATATGTTTATAGATCTCCTTGATTTTAACTATTTTTGGAGTTTAAAATTTTTTAATTAGATATGAAAATAGATTTTAAGATAATCCTCGAAATTTTTTACTACAAAATTACATGTTATGATAAAATTTGGAGGTGCGCCTTAATTAGATTATTTAAGGTTACACACACCCTTATCTAAAAAAACGCTCATAAAACACATATTACCAATTCAAAAGGGAACCAGTGGTTTAAAAACGGATCGGCTCAGATCGGGCACCCCAAAGACCCATCTAGATCAGTGAATCAGTGATTCGGATCGGGAATCGGCCAAATTGGTTGGATTAAGCCTGAAAAAAATTCAAAAAATTTATTAAAATTAGTTATAAATGTTGTTTTTTAGGAATTAAATAAGAAATGAGGGTACTACATTATTAACTTTTGTTTTCTTCATCAATTTGTGAATATTAAGATGTTTTTTCCCTGTGTGAACTTATGTTAACCATTAAATTTACATCACACAAAAAAAAAATCATAGAATTATCATGGATACAGTATATAATCATACATGAACTACAATAAAGAATGGATTAAATCAATGAAAAAATGGCCACTAAAATATCAAATTGGCGGAAAACCTAATCCGTTAAAAAAAAAAACCAAATTATTATAGCTTAACTAACTATAATTCAAAATTACTATAACCTAACTAACTACAATATTATATACTGAAATTAAAATTGTTGGCTTGTTTTTTATAATTATTTTATTATACAAATAATAACAAATCTAAAATATCTTATAATATCATTTAATTTAAAATGTATTATTGACAACTGTAAGAAAAATAGTACACTATATGATTTATAGTGCAAATAAATTAATAAATAAAATAAAATATTTGGTTTTCAATGTAGAAATTATTAGAATGTGTACCAATTTTGAAAATAACAATTTAAATTTCAAAAATTTAATTTTTTAGGCTTCTAGAATAAATTTAGTGAAGGAGATTGTTAGTAAAGAGAGAGATTTCAAATGGCATCATTGTATGAACCCTATCTTTAAATTAATATTCCTAAATTTATGTTAAAGATCACCTTGTCATAAAAATAACAAATATAATTAGACCATTTATTCCTAGGTTGTATTAAGAAATATATGTTGTATCAATAAATACTTGTTACATTACCTTTTATATTTTTTTGACAAGAAAAATATGATACTTGTTGTATTACCTTTTATTTATTTTTGACAATAAAAATAAGAAGATATTGTATTACTTTTTTCTTTAGCTTGTTGTATTAGCTTTTTTTTTTTGATAAGAAAAATAAGAAAATGATGCTGCCAAGGCACCTTTTATTTTTTTATACATTTTAATTGATATTTTTGACAAAAAGTACTTGTTATATTACTTTTTTTTATTTGACAAAAAAAATAAGAAGATGTTGTATTACCTTTTTTTTTTTTTTACAATAACTGCTTGTTGTATTACCTTTTATTATTTATTTTTTTTCTTTTATTTTTGTTGACAACATTTTTTTTTTTTTTGACAACATTATTTTCTTATTTTTATTCTTTTTGAAAAATAAATAAGCCCAAGTTCGAACTTGAGACATCCAAGATGAAAACGTAGGTGATAATCAATTGCACCACGTCACAAAGTATGATGCTTTTCATAATAATAATATATTGAATTAACATCTCAACGTTTTATTACCGTGTTCGAATCCTACATCGAAGAAGAAAAAGAAGTTTGAGGGGAATAAATACCTCCTCAATACCTTACTCATTAGGGTGATAAAAAAAGTGAGCAGGGCGATGTAGCATGATGTACATGCGGCATTCCTTGTAAAATGATTATTTTAAAACTAAATTACAAAAATACCCTCATCCAATGACTCGGTCATTTATAACTGACCATTTATAACCGAATGCCATACTCCGATATGTGACCATTTATAACCAAATGTCATACTTCGATATGTGACGTCATTCCAATGATTTGTGATGTCATACTCCAATATGTGATGTCATTCCAAATATTTGTGATGTCATACTCTGATATGTGACCATTTATAACCGAATGTCATACTCCGATATGTGATATCATTCCAACGATTTGTGATGTTATACTCCGATATGTGATGTCATTCCAACGATTTGTGATGTCATACTCCGATATGTGATGCCATTCCAACGATTTGTGATGTCATACTCCGATATGTGATGTCATTCCAACGATTTGTGATATCATACTCCGATATGTGATGTCATTCCAACGAATTGTGATGTCATACTCCGATATGTGACATCATTCAAACGATTTACTGTTAAGAACCGGGCGAGTCTATGCTTTTTAGAAGAATCGACACGGGGTACTGATTCTCGTGTCGAACCGGGTGAGTCCGTTTCGATTTGTCGAGTTTTAAATCACTAGGGTCAACCATTTTTTAGATTATTTCAAATTAATGATGGACTAAAATTAACAAACTTATCAAACTAAATCTAAAAAAACTAGTTTTAATTATTAATCCTAATAGATAAAAATAAAAAACTCCACTCAAACTCTAAAAATAAAATTAATATTTGTAGCCAGCAGATTTTGATCTGCACGACTTTGTTCGAGGAAATAGATGATCTCATCGATGTGTGATTCGTAGGCATTACTCTGTTCAAAGAAGTAGAATGACTTATTGTTGTACACTCTGTTCATTCCAAACTACGCTGCAAATATTTAGTGGCCTTTGATCATAAAATTTAAAGTCTTCAAAAGAATAGTGTAAAAGCTTCAAAAAATCTATCTATGCAAATTGGAAAATCTTGAAAGTTGACGCTCTGCTAATTTGATTGTTTAGAACCTCACACTTATATAAACTTTTTTCTTAGTTAAAAACTATGATATCTAAAGGAAGGATAAGACAATCACATATAGGCATATCGCAAAAGGGGGACAGCATTCTAACCTTCTAACTTCTCCAACACCATTTTACGACATTTTCTATTATGAAAATCACAAAAATTAATTCTAGATAATTCTAAAAGAATAAGAAAAACTGACATATCTCATTCAAGAAAAAAGAAAAGAAAAAGAACAATAAGATTTCCAACCAAGAAGTAACCCATGAAAACCTTACTTAATAACTATGAAATTTGTGTGCAAAATATTGTATTGACCACACTGACGTATTGAGTTTTAGGGGTCTCACATTGTAAAAGCTGATCTGTATGATTGTGTAGTTTTGTTTGGAATTGGGATCAATGACCAAGAGATCTAAAGAAATTGCAGGTTAACTTATGCATTACACAGAGGGTGTGGTTTCTATAAGCTTACAAGCTTAAACAATCCAATTAAGGTCTATTATAATATGTAATGTTGGTGTAAACAAGTATTAGGATTATTTTAAAATGTATTTTTATATTTAATTATAAAATTTTGAACTCTAAAACCGGTTAAATCAAGTAAATATATGAAAATCTTGAAAAATGGACGGTCTAAACAACGTGTTGCAAGATGCATTATCTTTTGTACTAAAAACCATGACAACTATGTTTTTTGGAATGGAATGGGACGAGAGTTAGCAGGAGCCCGTATCCTTATGGGATGCCCTCTTTCAATTATTTTGGGGATGCGTTTCAATTATTTCACCCCACCACTTTCTACAAGTGAGATTTGGAAAGCAACACGTTGATAAAGGCTTTTGATTTGAGGTTAGGGAGAGAGAGGAGCAATCCCAATAGTATGACCGGGGAAGTAGGACTAGAGAGAATGAATCTTAGCAGAATAATATTAATAAGTGAAAATTAGATGGATGCTTCCATAGGGCATCCTACAATCTTTTGTATGGTTTATGGTACGCCAAAAGCGCCCAATAGCCGTTTGGTTTCGGTAAATATTTTTTAAAAATACCAATGTCAATTCTAATAGCTTGATCCGGATTGATTTTCATAAGGGTAAGGTAACTTTTTTTTAATACATTGGGAACCGGGAGATTTCAGGTAGGAACCGGCTTGATAGAAATTGCCTATCCAGCCCTACCGTTTTCTTTTTTAGTAAGTTATTTCTCAAATTTTCTATTTTTTAATGGTAGTCCTTAGGCCAGATTGCCCATCGGGATCCACGATTCCTAGACCCGTTTGGTAGAGGACCGGTTGGCCTTGCCATGCATGGTGCAGAGCCCACCTCGTGTAATTTATAATTTCCTAAAAGGAAATGATATATATCTCAACCACTCACTAGTGAATTGACATCAATTTCCTGGTAGTCCTTATCCAACTCCTACACCTTGATTCTCCTTCCACAGGTTTGAGTTCCAGGAAACCTATACAAAAGAGAACAGAGGAAGTAGAGGTCCTCAAAGATCAACTCAACATTTTCCATTATTTCAGGGCATACTTTAACATTCCCATTTCTCAATTACTAAGAGAGAATAAGAAATAACAGAGGTGCGTGTGCTCTGTCACTGTATGTTAGTGAATTGCATTAGAAGGCTAAGCATCCCAGAAACACACTAAGCCCCAGCTTCTACTCTTTTCTACCAATCATCCCAAAAACCAGGCTTCCATGAACCTTGCAGGGAACTCACAATCAGCAATGGAAACTCTCTCTTCTTTCCTTCTCACTCATGGCCTCTTACATGGCCAGCAACCTATGTTAACTACTTTGATTATCCCTCTCCTCTCCACTCTAGTCCTCTTACTCCTCTATCTCTGCCGCAACAAGCAGTAAGGCAGCGAAAAGAAGGGACCACCCTTTCCTTTGGAGCTCCCCATCATCGGTAGCCTCCACCAACTAGGTTCCCTGCCGCATCGCTCTCTAGCCCATCTTGCCAAGATCTATGGACCGCTCATGCACCTTAAATTGGGCCGAGTCCCCACTCTGGTAGTCTCCTCTCCTAAGATGGCCGAGCTCGTCATGAAGACTTATGACCACGCCTTTTGTAGCAGGTCCATCCTTGTGGCCACCAACTACCTCACCTACGGCAGCACAAATGTTGCCTTTGCACCATATGGATCATATTGGCGCCACGTAAGGAAGATTTGCATCCTGGAGCTCCTCAGCTCGAAGAGGGTCCAGTCGTTCAGGTTTGTGCGAAAAGAGGAAGTGGGGCGCCTCGTCGACTCGATCTTTGTATCCTCCAAAGCTAAAGCTCCTGTCAATTTGACAGAGGCGTTTCTTTCTCTCAGTAACAATGTGGTCTGCAGAGTAGCACTTGGGAAGAGTTATTGGGAGGAGGAGCCGGAGTTGAGGGAGATATTTGAGTCTTCCAAGTCGTTGATTGGTGGCTTCTTTGTGGGCGACTTCTTTCCATCATTGGAGTGGGTGAAATATTTGACAGGGTTTCAAAGGAGGTTGGAGAAAAGCTTCAGGCATAGGGATTCATTCCTTGAGAAAGTAATCGCTGAGCACCTTCTTCCTACTCATGGGAAGGAGGACGAGGAGGAAGAGGAGGAGAAGGACTTGGTGGATGTACTGCTGCAGCTCCAGAAAGAGGGCACCCTGATTTCACCCTCTCTACCGATAACATCAAAAGTGTTGTTATGGTAAGTAACAAATTGAACATATTTCACTCTTTTCTGCAATTCTCTAA